CACAAACTTCAGCGCCCAGGCATGCACCAACGCATCCCCCACTTCACTGTACATGCTCCAACACACCCACACCACACACATACTGCCTTCAATCAGCATGCACACACATGCACACACACATAGTGCCCCCCTTCACTCCTGCTTGCCAGGAGGCTCACATACACACACACACACAGAGGCATTCACCTTCCTACCCACCCTCCTGCCTCACACCCCAACCCTCTCTGAGACCAGCCCCAAGCACACTCACATACAGACAGTGCATCCTTTCACTCCTGCTTGCTGGGATGCGCGCGCACACACATAAACACACACACACACGAACTCACAGAGACACGCACCCTTCTACCCACCCTCCTGCTTCACCCCCCAGCTCTCCCTGGGACACAACCCAACACACACATGCACACACAGTGCACCCCTTCACTCCTGCTTGCCAGAATGCATGCACACGCACGTACACACACACACACACACACACACACACACACACACACAGAGGCATAGGCACACACGGACAGGCACACACACATGCACACTCCTACCCACCCTCCTGTCTCACCCTCCCCACTCTCTCCAGGACCCAACTCCAAACACTCTCACACACACACACACACACACACGCACACACACACACACACACACACACACAGAGTGCACCTTTTTACTCCTGCTTGCCAGGATGCTCTGGCGCACACAATCACACACACTCTCACTCTCTCTCTCCCCTACCCATCTGCCTGCCTCGTACCCAATTCTCTCTGGGACACAACCCCACACAGACACAAACATACACACACACACACATACACACACACACACAGAGCGTACCCTTCACTCCTGCTTGCTGGGACACACACACACAAACACAGACACACAGAGTGTACTCTTCACTCCTGCTTACTGGGACATACACACATACACACACACACACACACACACACTGTACCCTTCACTCCTGCTTGCCGGGATGCACACACACCCCCGCTCACTCCCTGCTGCCGGCCACCCACCCACACCCTGCCACCCTCCCCTCACCCCACGCTTCCCGCCCGACATCCCCGTGCCCTCAGCACCCCGGGGCCTGCCCCATCACCCTCTGCCCCCCCGTGCCAGGCAGTCCCCATGGGGCTGCCCCCACCCTACCACAAATCACAGCTCCAGCCCCCTCTACACACTCACCTGGGCCCGGGGGTCACACCTGGCACTGGAGGGGGACACACAGGGAGCCTCCGTGGGCCCCAGCGGCGGCGAGCGGGCGTCTGCGTCTCCTCCGGCCGCGGTGCTGTGTGTGCATGTGTGTGTGCGAGTGTGTGTGTGTGTGTTTTCTAACATTCACTAAGAAATCATTATACTCGTCTATTCATAACCCCGGCCGGTCATGTGACGCAGCCCTGAAAATATACAGCACATTTTTTCAGAAACCACAGAATGACTTCAGGCAAAGACACGGAAAATATTTGCGCTCCCCCCCCGCGCCTCCTTCCCCGCTCCGCACGGCTCCGCGCAGCCCAGGAACCTCCACGCCGGGCCACCGCAGCACCCGCACGCCCGGGGACGCGCCCCGCAGGCAGGGGGACAGGTCCCTCTCAGGCCCCGGCCCTGCGGGACACGCTTGCACGCGCGCACGCACACGGCCTGGGAGTCCCCCAGCACACGTGCGTGCCAGATTTGGGAGCGCACGCGCTTGCCAGAGTCCAGAGTCGCACACGCGCATGCCGGGCCTGGGAGCACAACTGTGTGTGTGTACACATGTAACACACACATACACACGCTACAAATCTAGTATCACAGCTGCACACCCACACACACACACACACACACTCCAGATATAGTAGCACAGCCACATGGGCACACACTAAATCCAGTATCACAATTGCATACATGCACTCCAGATCTAGTACCACAACCACACACTCCAGATCTAGTATCACAACCACACACACTCATATGCACACCAGATGCAGTATCACAACCACACACAAGCCAGAGTCAATTTCTCTCACACACCCTATAAGTCAGTTTCTCTCCCCCGCCACTCTGTCTCTTACACACACATGCACACACACATGCACGCACACACGGATGCATGCACAAAGGCCAGTTCAGTATTTTTCTCTCACACACACCAGAATCCAAGATGTCACAGCCACACACACCAGACTCTTGTCTCTCTTACACACACACACACACACACACACACACACACACACACACACACACACTGCAAGCATCCCATGGCTGACATACCCATACATGCACATCTGCCAGATCCAGTATCACACACACATCTAATGTCACACCCTCACACACACATGCAAGCCAGATCCAGTATCACACACACACACACACACACACACACACACACACACGCAAGCCAGACCTGAGGCCACGCCCTCACACACACATGTGCAAGCCAGATCCCCGTCACACCCGCTCACACTTGCCTGCGCTGATTTTTTATCCTCCCCTGGGGAGAGTTGGAGCAGGAAGGGAATTGTTAACCCTTTATTAACCATGGGCCTCATGGGGGGGCATTACCAGTCCAGCTACCTCGTCTCTCAGGGTGGGGGGCAGGAGGATGCCCTGCCAGGGGGTCCGGATGCCCAGCGCCTGCCATGACAGTGCCACCAATGCCCTCAAGGCGCCAGGTCAAGCGAGGCAGGTAGATCACGGCCAGCAGAGCAAGGGCTCACACTATGCTGGCCCCAGCCAGCCCCAAGCTTGCCAGCTGCTCTCCCTGCCAAGCACCGCCTGTGCCAGTGGCGGGGCAGGGCACAGCCTGGCAAGCAAAGAGGTAGCAAAGACCATGGGCAGCCAGTGCGCACAATCAGCACCAATCCTGCCCCCAAGGGGCCCAATCCACACACGCAGCATGGACCAGGGCACCCAGGGCTAGACCAGGCATGCAGTGCACCAGCCCCAGCACTGTCCACCATGCCAGCCAGTGCCCATCACCCCTGTAAGGCTGGCCACGTTGACCACGGAGCTTATGTGACAGCCCGTGGCTCATGCCTACACCCCTGGGATGGAGCCGTGAGCAGCCCTGCAGCCCACAGGGGTGGAAACCAGGCTGCATCCCTCTCCCGGGCTGCTCCCTGCCCTCTGGGCACCCAGGGCCTGCTCTCACCTTTGGAGCCCCCAGGGTATACCTTCGATCCCCCACACCCCAGAGCCAGCCGCACCCCACAGCCGCCTCCACTTGCCACCAGTCCCCAGTCCATCCCCACCTTCCCCCAGGGTCCCCATCCCAGGCCAGGGGATGCCCATTGTGCCAAGCCCCTCCCGGGCACAGGGGCCTGCAGCGAGTGCCCATCTCCGACCTGCCCCTAATGACTTGCATCTGGGCCTCCACGCAGGCAGGAAGGCAGGGGGGGCTGCACTTTGAAGTGCTTTGCGGGCACCCACTGCTTCTGGGGGGCTGGGGAGGGCCCGGGTCTGAGATGAGGGTGAGTTTGGGGCAGGGCAGCAGGGTGCTTGCAAATCCAGCACAGGGGCTGGGCCAAGAATGGGGTGCTCGAAGCCCCCTGCCCCAGTCAAAAAGATAACCCAGGCGTCCTGCCAGCCAGCCAGCCCACTCCAAACACAGCAACCAGTGGGTGCGCAGAGCGGGGGGGCTGTGGCATGGGCAGAGGGTACCCCAAGGGAAAAGCAGGGAGGGGGGTGCCCCCCAGTAAAGGGTTAATGGCACTCTGGGAGCTCAGGACCAGGCAACGGGCTCCCCCCAGAAGCACCGTGACTGGCCACCCCCCAGGGCACAACCCAACGCAACAAAAGGGGCATTGAGTCTGGATCATCCGCCTGGCAGCAGGCGCCCAGACAGCACCCCCCACGAGACCTGCGCCCTGCTGGCACCTCCTGCTGCCGGGAGCAGGGGGGCGGGGGGGGGCCCAGTCAGGGTGGCTAGCTGGAGTGGAGGGAGGCTGCAAGTCAGGACTCAGGGGCCGGGGCCCAGGGCTCTGGATGGGAAATGGATGGTGTGGGGAGAACAAGGGACTGCAGGGGTCCTGCGGTGGTTCCCTGGCTCTGCAAAAGGGGCATGGGGCCTACTGGTTAGAGCGGGCAGGAGGGCGAGGGAGCCAGGACTCCTGGGTTCCTTCTCTGCCAGGCCCCAGGAAGGGAGCAGGGAGTTTCCAGCACCCGCCAGGGCCTGCCGTCCCTTGGGGGCACAGGCTGGTGGTGCGGGCACCGGCCCAGCCACAGGCAGGGCTCTTCTGAGCTGCCACGGCTGCCCTGGGCCCTGACGGGCTCCCCAGGTCACCGCTAGACAGCTGCAGCCTGGCCCCTGGCCTGGCACCACGGGACACCCCCAACACACACACAATCATGCACACTCACACAAGCACATGCATACACACACGTGTATACTCACACACACACGGTTGTACGCACATACACACACTCCCACAGAAGCATGTACTTGTGTGTGCGCACATACCCTCAGACATGCTCCCACAGACGTGCTCATATACACATGTAGGCACCCACACACTCTCCAGACACACATTCTTGCATATGCACACACTCATGCACACTTGCACAGGCATGCACATACACATGTGTGTACTCACACACATGGATGTACCCACATACACTCCTAGATGCGCATGCTTGTGCATGCACAGACCCTCACTCACACTCCCCCAGGCGCACACATATATGCACGTGTGTAGCCACACATGTACACTCCCACAGACACATGTACATGCACACACACGTATACATGCTCACACACTCCCACAGACACAACTACTTGCACACACACTCATGCATGCTCACACATATATGTAGTCACACACATACACTCCCATAAACACACCTACTTGCACACACACTCATGCATGCTCACACATATGTCACACACACTCCCACAGATGCATATCGTTGCACATGCGCGCACCCCCATGTATGCTTCTGCACACGTGCACACACATACACTCGGGTGCAGCAGGAGGGGAGCTCCAGGGGGGGATCTGGTGCGGGGAGACGCCGTTCCCCAGAGAAGCGGGGCCGAGGCGACGGGAGCTGAGCCCTAGGGGCAGATGGGGGTCCATGGCAATGGGTACCCCAGCTTGTTGGACACCGGTGCCCTGGGCACCCCCTGCCCGACAGCTCAGCCGGCCCTGGCACTGCAGCGGGTCCCCGGCAGGCCACGGCAGGCACAGAGCAGCGAGGCCGGCGCTGCAGAGACACATGTTTTCATTTAACATACTGAAGGCGAAGCCGCTGGGCCGGGAGCGGCGATGGGCCGCGGCCAAAGCAGGCCTCAAATTTGAGAAAAAATAACATCCATACAAACCATGAACACAAAGTGAAACATATGTCCATAAAATGTCATTCCCCACAGTAAGGACATAGTTTCCCGATGAGGAGAGATTAGTTCATTGCTGGGCAAAGCGAGGAGAAATATCCCTCCGCTCCGGGGGTCGGCCCCTCCCTGCCCGGAGGGCTGGGAGGGACCATCCTGCACCCCCACTGCAGAATCGGGGCCCTTTCCCCCCCCCGACACCCACTTTGCAAAATGCAAAGCGGAGGCTGGATCCAGCTTGGGATCCACAGGTCTCTGGAATCTGCTCCGCTCCCTCGGGAAGCCGGAGTGGCCGCTCTCAGCAGATCCCTCCAGGCTGGCACGCGGCCCCCCGGCCGGCCCGTATGCACATGCGTGTGCCCCGCGCCTCTGATCCAATCCGTGTCCGTAGCATCAGGCTAGCCGAGGGGTGGCAGGCAGCGTGGAGGGGGGCCCAGCCTTGTCACAGGGGAAAAACGGGCACGAGGGTGGGATGCATCTGCCCGTCGCTGCCCAGGCAGGGGGCTGCCATGGGGGCCTGGCCGGGCTGTCTCCCCCTGGATTCACTCCGGCTTTGGGGCCCAGGGCTTCCCCCCGCCCCAGCTCAAGCCGTGACTGGTAAATGCTGGGAGAGGCTGTAATTGCAAACAGGTTTAACTGGCACAAAATACGCCAGCCCAGCCCAGGGTGGGGCCCGAAGAACAGCAGCAGAGCAGGGGGCAGCTGGGGCTGGAGCTGGGGCCGAGGCCAAGGTGGGCACAGCCTACCCGGGCTTCCCCTGCCGGCGTGGCCGCGAAGCCTGGGGAAACCCGGGCCAGGCTGGGCTGCAGGGCACGGGCTAAGGCCTGGCAGGCTCGTGGCACAGGAGGCAGGCAGGGGGGAGGGAGCAGCGGCTGAGCTGGGCTGAATCATCCCCTGCATCTCAGTCACTGTGAAACCACCATCGCTGGTGCCAGTGGAGCGGGCGCTGCGTGGGAGGGGGAGCAGCGCCTGGTGGGGGATGGGAAGGGCGGCGTGGCAGAAGGGGGAGGGCAGGGGAGCCCCAGCCTGGCTTGGGGAGGGGGGATGCTGGCTGGGCAGAAAAGACCCTGGGGCACCACATGGCCCTCACTCTGTGGCCCCCTCCCCACCACATGCCCTGGCGAGAGGGGCCTGGCACAACCCTGGCGTGGGGCCCAGATGACCTGTGTCCCCCCACGCTGGGGACCACCCTCGCCAGCTCGGGGAGGTGGCCCGGACGCCTGGGTTCGCTCCGTGGAGTCTCTTGCCGCCTCACCTGCCCGGAGGCTTCCTGGGAATGGGCGCGGGGGGTGGGCAGCGGTGGGGGGGATGTTTGGAACAAGTCTGAACTCCCCCGGTGCCGAGAACAAACGCCGTCCCGCAGCCACGCCCCGCGCAGCTGCTCCCGCCACGGCCAGATGCTGGTTCAAAGGCAGGCTTAGACCTCCCAGCGAGCGGCTGTCAGCCCAAGATTTACAGCGGTGGGGTGGACAACCCCCCCACGGGTGCAGGCTGTGACCGTGGCTATGGCCGTGGTCACGACTGTGACCTCCCTGTGCTAGTCCACGGCACCCTCCAGCTCAGCTCGCCGGCTGCCAGTGCCCCACGGGAAACCACGCCGGGGTGGCACGCAGCCACAGGGGCATGGCAGGGGTGCGGCTGGGCCTGTGTGGTGCCCAGTACAGCCCCCTGCTCCCCCCCATGAGACCTGGCACGTCTCACGGGGAGGCCAGCCCATGCCCGATGCACCGGACCCGCCTTCCCCGTGCCAGAGAGGTGGGGGGTGCTGGGCACGCAGGTGCCTGCCAGCTGTGTGTCGTAGCCCCGCTAAGGGCAGTGTTATTACACCACATCTAGAGGGAATTCACCCCCTGCCCCGCTCCCTCGGGTGCATTTGGGGTCACCCACGAGAGTGCAGGCCACAGAGCAGGGGTGGCCGGGAGCTTGGACTCCTGGGTTCACTTCCCAGTTGCACCCTGCCCTTGGGAGCTTCCCCCCACCACCTTCCTGCCTCAGTTTCCCCCCATTCTGGGGCTGAGGCACCTGCCTGGGGCTGTGCGGGGCCAGACAGGCAGATAAATCACCCAGGGAAGGGAAGACATGATGATGATGGACGGTGTTGGCTTAACGAGACAGCACCATTTGTCAAGGCCTCTAAGTGCAAGGAGACAGTCCCGGGGCGTGTGCGTGCGTGCATGGGTGCATGTGTGTGTGTGCGTGCATGCCCCAAGCAACAGGTGCCAGTGTGTGTTACAGTGTTCTGGAGGTGCGGGACCATGAGCTTGCAATCATCTGTGGCGTGGGGCGGGGTGCCCTTCATGTGTATCACGGTGGTGGATGTGAAGGTGGGGTCTGAGCTGTGAT